CGTTTCAAAACGACGCCATTACAGAAAACACAAAATCTGCTCAAATCGTTTCAAAACGATGCCACCGCGAAAAAAAACTAAAATAAATAAACTGCTAAATCTGCCTCAATCGTTTCAAAACGACGCCATAAAATAAAAAAAAAGCCTTAATCGTTTCAAAGCGACGCTTTTGCAAAAAAAAATCAATTGGCCTCAATTACTTGAAAATGACGCCACGATCCCTATTACAAAACAAAAAATAACGCATACTTTACATTTTACCAGCATTATCTAATGCATATCACGGATGCACCAACAGGACTGTTTGGCACAGGAAATCGACGTCATGGACAGTAGCACTCAAAAAAAAAAAAAAAAAAACGGAAGGCAACCTCCTTCATCAAGGGTGCCCTGAAGGTTAGTTCGCTATCCAACGACAAAATGCTGGTGAACGACCATCTGGCCAAATTAATGTTCTCCACACCGGTGTCCTCGCAGAAGATCCGCCATGAAGCTGGTCAGCTGGCGAAGTTGAAAAGCAGCCGCTTTGCACTGCCTTCGTCCATCTAGCAGCTGAAGAATGCCGAAGCTTCTATTTGTATGTTTGTATTTCTAATTGTATTCAACCTGCCATTGTATGAAGGGCCAAAAACGGTTTGGGTGAATCCGTGAGCAACATCGCCCACTTGCATCCACGGAATACATGAGAATCTCCTTGCAACAACAGGATCATACAACCGGTCAAAAAACAGGCCATCCAACAGGAGGATGTCCCAATGAGTGGGGGAGAAGAGTCCACCTTCTTTTCAAGAAATGTAAACGACAGGGAGTTGGCATTTCGACTCTCCCCATCCATTTCGCGTCAATCGGGTGCCCTGGTGGTCCTGACCACAACATGTCCACAACATTTAATGTTTCATATAATAATGGAATGAAAGTTAAGAAAAAATAAAGGATTGATATCACCCGGTATGTTACCAAGAAATCTATGATATCACGTTAATCACGAAGATTTCCAAGAGCTCCATAGATATGCTGCCACTATATCTTCAACAGGTGTTAAAAACAGCACTCTCGCCTTTCGTTCCTCACAGCAGCGTAAACCCCCATCAACCACGAAACACACTCTAGCTGCTCCAACTAGAGGGATCGCAGCAGAGAAAACAAGGCCTGCGTCCACTTTTCATTTTCGTGACACAACGGCTTCAGTTCACCAGTACACAGTCTACCAACATTTTGTTATACGGCAAACATCCCACATTGCGCCCCAGAAGTCTTTGAATCCAATCGGGTCAATTTTTCTCCGAGCAACTATGAGATTAATTGAAAAATCATCCATTTCGATTTTCGAACGAGAGATTCCTAAAAATCTTCATGATGATGATAATGATGTCATAGTTAACCGGGTAAAATTCTTTTTTTATGAGGAGAGAGGGACATGTGTGGCATATATTAGCGCTAGTGTACGCAGGTCTTAACTTGACGCTTAACGAGTCAGCAAGCCATGTGTGCAGCCCTCCGTTGTAAGCGCAGCAGTTCAACGCTGGTAAACAGAGGTATCTATGGCAACGCTTCATAAACACACACGGGCAACTCTCCACTCACTTTCGGACTAGCTCTTCACAAGGTAAGTTGCACAAGACCCTTCCCTACCGTCAAGCTACAGACCGATTAGCCTGCTCTCAGCGCTGAGCAAGCTGTTCGAAAAATTGATCCTCAGCCGACTAAACAAGTTTGTGGAGGAACATGACATTCTTCTTCCGGAACAGTTCGGGTTCCGTAAGGGGCATTCCACCAATCATCAGCTAGTGCGGGTGATGAATAACATCCGGAGTAACAAAGCTGTATCCAAGTCCACAGCCATGGCCTTGTTAGACGTCGAAAAGGCGTTTGACAATGTCTGGCACGACGGACTTATATACAAGCTTTGTAACTCCAACTTTCCACCATACCTTGTGAAAATCACCCGTAACTATCTCCAGCAAAGGTCGTTCAGGGTGTCGTTGAATAGTTCCCTTTCGGGACAATTTCCGATCCCAGCAGGTGTTCCGCAAGGGAGTCTGCTGGGACCACTGCTTTACAGCATCTACACGTCGGACATCCCTCCTCTAGGAGACGGTTGCGTGTACTTTCTGTTTGCAGATGACACCGCGATAGCCGTCAAGGGTAGGATGCCTCGTGAAATTACGAACAAGCTCCAACGATGCCTTGACACCTTTACTGATTATGCCACCACGTGGAAAATCAAAATCAACGCCTCGAAAACCCAAGCGATCATGTTCCTTCACAGACAATCACCAAAACTTAAACCGTCTTCCTCCTGTACCGTAATAATGGATGGTACAAGGGTCGAGTGGTCCACTGATGTTACTTATCTCGGGATGTTGTTCGATGAGAAGCTCCTGTTCCGCTCGCACATAGAGAAAACCCTAGTTAAGTGCTCCGCCTTGGTTAGGTGTTTGTATCCGCTCATTTGCCGCAGATCCCGCCTCTCAAGGCAAAACAAACTGGCTGTTTACAAACAGATCATAGCCCCCGCGATCCGGTGTGGGAATCGTGCGCTCAGACCCACAGGAACAAAATCCAGGTTGCACAGAATAGAGTGTTGAGGATGATCCTAGATCGTCCATTCGACACAAGAATAGCAGACCTCCATCAAGAGGCAGAAATTCCCAAAGTAGATTCCAAAATTGATGATATGACAACCAAATTTATTCAAAAATGCAATCTTTCTGAACATGCTTTAATAAGCAATTTGTACATAGTAGGTTAAGTGTATATAGTAGAGTAGGTTAGTTTTAAGCTGTAAATAGTAGTATTAAGTAGTTTCTCTTCAAATTCTAAAAACAAAACAAACCAATCCCACCAAGGTGGTCGACCGTGTACTAAGTCTAGGACTAATTCTGTAAAACAAATTTTGAATTTTGCCCATACCTAAAGATGAAGAAAGCAATTAAATCACTTAGTAAAAATTTATATGGTAATCGTCCAAGTTAAACTAAAATAAAGATCATTTAAACTAAAAAAAAAAAAAAAAAAAACTCGTTGGCGGCATTCTTATTACGGACTGTGGAGAGAGCGGACGACCAGCAAAGGACCACCAGCAAAAGGGATAGTGGCACTAGCGGACCAACAGCGACCAGCAGCAGATTCGTGGAACCACGACCGAGGCTGGAAACATCGATCCAGTCGCGACACTTGGGATTTGCCAAGAGGTCCTCAAAATTATCTAGGAGTTCTACTCATTATTACCGTGGAAGCACATGAACATCTTCTTACATTGCCGTTGGAATTCTAGCCAGAAATTCGTTTGGATTCTTCCCACAAATCCTTTAAAATTATCCCTAGAAGTTCTGTTGACTTTCCATCATAATTCAGATGAAAATTCTACAAAAAAGGGTTATTCATAAACTACGTAGATATTTTAGGCAACCGGTGGAAACTAACTAAATCGATTAACGTACCCTATTCTAGTCTAAATTCTAGTACTACGCAATGTTTGTTTTGATTCGCTATGAAATTTTGACAGATAAAATGTGGGGTTCGTGGATTTTTCTGTTTCGAGGGGTGCATCGATTAGCTTGGGACCGAAGACAGTACCAGAGCTGAGCCAAAAAGTTGAGCACGTTTCATCGGGACCTTCTGGTCTTAGAGTTACCTCTATGGTTTAGGGGAGGTAGCTAGTGTTTACGGTCCAAACAAAAATCTTGAACAATTATCTATCTATGCTAAATGAGGAGGGAGTTGAAATCGCTCAAAAACTGTCTGCGTAGTTTATACATAACCAGAAATTGTCTGAACCTTGATTTATATTCATGTCCAAGAGCTTTCGAAATTTTCCAAGACACAAAAATTTTGATCTTGGAAAAAAATGTGAGGACTCAATCGAGCCTAACGATTTCACATGCTTCACGGATGATCGTGCAGTCGTTTTTTCGGCTGGGAGCCAGGTAGACAGCCTACTGGAAATTGCCAGTAGACAGCCTACTGGAAATCATATTCAGCCTCCGCAACAGCCATGGAAAACGAGTCGATTCTAGTCCTCAGCCCACGCACGTTTTGATAATAAATCCGGGGGTCATTTGAGGTGCGATCTCGGGAGCTGGAAACCGAAGGAAAGTTAGGTACCGAAAGTTCAGAATCGCAATCATACTCGCCTGTAGTTGCAGGCCGGAAGCCCCTGATTTTGTTGTTGTTTTGCTTGACAGCAGCTTTTCGGCTTCGTACCTTCATATGTTGCTGTGATGCGAAAAGTGAGAAAGCAAATGATAGTGATCTTGCTCACTGAGCAATGTGAGTTACCCGAGGTGCCTCAAAAGCAACTCTGAAATTCTAGATAGAGCTGGAATTAGGGCGTAACAGCCTTTGTAAACAATGACTTCTATCGATGATTTTTAGGAACTCAAGGCACGCCCACGCAAACCAACACAATCGTCAGGTAGGGGAGGTCTTCCTCTACCAGATGGTATTGTTGATTTGCGTTGGCGAGCCTTAACGTTCTAGAAATCATCGAAAGAAGTCATTGTTTACAAAAGCTGTTACGCCCTAATTCCAGTTCTATCTAGAATTGCTCATGGAGCTGTATTGTCCCTTGATTACTTAATTACAAATCAACTCTGAAGAATCACTTGTTACTGAATTAGGGCCGATGGCAATCATACAAGGTCTGGAACAACAGGCAGCTTGCTGGTGTGAGAAGCAAAAATGTTGTAAGCATTGCTGAGCACAACATTCCATACTGTGAATGGCAGACATGTCGTCACAGAAAACAACTGTTTCGTGTAAAAAGATAAACATTGCAATGAAATACGAATACCACTAAAAATTTCACTAATACCAACAAGCCGGTTGGGCCAGACCTGGTATGATTGACATCGAATTAGGGCAGGTGATTCGCCCCATCTGTCTACAACCCATGATTTCCGCTGTGGATGTTTAGATGTTTTATAACTTAAGGTTTTAAGTTCTCCGATATACTTAAGGTTGTCACTATTCACATTTCCCTCGCTTTTTTTTTCAAGATCCTCAAAGAAGAAACGGAACGGTTACATTTGGATTACATTAAGAGCAGCTGAGACGAGGAGCAGGGCTCGGAAGGGGCCAATTGATGGAGGAAAAAGACATTCACACCGAAGTTAATTAAACTAAAGCGTGCGGTTATGTTTGTCCGGTATGAAAGATCGTGAAACAGAAACGAACCATAACATTACACTTATTTGACTATGCCTATTATGCAATAATTCCATCCAAACCGGAAGCTGAGAGATGAATGATATTCCATGATTTCTAAACGCTCATATATTTTTTTTCTCACCCGTACTTGTACTGGCAACAACCGGAACGGAGTCAACAAAGTTTGCCATACTTTTTATACTAACGCTGATTAATTCACTTCAAATAGGCATTAAACTGCATTTGCTCCATCCATTAAATTACTATTTACTAGCGGACAACACATAGTAAAGAATTGCTACTTTAATTCGGTACCGTTTTTCTCTAGTCAGCTTGGAATGTTTGACGCGAAAGTGGACGTGTTTGTAAATTAACTAGCGAGGAACTAGAGCGAAGGAAGAGGCTTACCAATATTTGTTAAGGAAAACATAAATTTAAACAAAATAATTAATATTTCCTTTTTATCTGTTGGTACCTTACCATAGTTGATTTGAAGGTTAGATGTTGAATAATTAAGTAGACTGTGTAGTTAGTTTGGTCACTGTAAAGTAATTATAGTTGAAATTGAATGAAACCCAGAAAGCGTTTGTTTAATGCGATGACAATACTTTATTTAACTATCGCACAATTTGCGCGTAAGGATATATAAAATAATATCGATTATTTTATTGGCTAACGTAACATTCCTAATCTAGGAAACCGAATGAAAACACGCAACGATAAAAACCCAAACTTTAAAAAAGCAGATTACTGTAATCTGCCTTGAACAAGACAAGTGATAAAAGCAACACTTAAACACTACACTTGGAATACGCAACAACCTACCTATTTACAACAGACAATCCGCTCGACCATGCCGTGCAGCGTGGAACGAACATCAGAGGCGGTGGGACGCAGGACGGACTCATGCTGCCAGCATTTCCTGTACAGATTTCGATACTCCTGTCGAATGTAATTCTGATTGACGGAATGCAAGTCGACTGTCTGCACGAACAATGCATCCAGTGCCGCGTGGCTCGGTGCATCGTCCGGATCGTCCTCGTCGTTCACTGCGTTAGCTGCAAGGTCAATGCCCTGTTGTTGGAGAACGTCACGCATGGCGTCGGTCGTGCAGTCGATGCTGGGCCGGTGCTGATCGGAAGCGTTGGACGAAACCAGGATGCTACTGTGGAAGCTGAGGTGCGAGTTGCCATTCGCTTTCAGGTAAGTTTCCGACGACTCCATCGAGTTGTCGCTATTCTTGCGGGCACGTGACAAGTGATGGTGTGAATTTTTCCCCGATGGAATAGCAACCGGCTCGGAGCGTAGGATCTCCGCTGTGGTAACGCTATCCGGACGGATCTTCTTCTTGACCACATTGTAGGCAACGGCTTCATTTGAAACAATTGATTCGTAAGGATCTTTACCTTCGCTGAGCTGCCACATCGTTACTCCGAACGAAAAGACATCAGCCAAATCGGAAATCCCATCCAGTCCCCGTAGCATTTCCGGTGCCATGTACCGAATAGTGCCTCGGTTACTCTTCGATTCGGCAACGTTAAAATTATCCAGCTCCACAGACGATCCAAAATCACACAACTTGCACGAGTAGTTTCGTATGTAGGAACATCTATCGCCTACCGACCATCCCGGAACCAACAGACAAACAATAACATTCTGAGGTTTCACATCCAGATGGACGATATGATGACGATGACAGAAGCACAGACCATTGATTATATCACACAGTATCCTGAAATTCACGAAAACCCCCATTACTCTCGCATACCTCATCCCACCACCGAAAGCTGTCCTTACAACAATCGATGATAGATCGTAACCTCATATCCTTGATTCAACACACTCTGCAAACAATATCCGTCGAACCGCTCCATGATCACCAGCCCGTACTGCGCCCCGGAGATGATCTTCAGCACTCGCACAATATTGTCATGCTTCAGGTTCAGCACGTTTGCCTCGTTCCGCAGCGAATCGTACCGGCAGCGGTACTTGCGGTGCTTTTCCACAATCTTTACCGCAACGTGCTTGCCCTTGTACAGAGCCTTGATGACCACGCCGTAGCTGCCCCGCCCCAGCACCGTGTAGCTCTGGCTGTTGCGCTGGCCGAATTCGTCACGAAGGAAGCGCTCCCGATTCGGTGTGTCGAAGTTGATCTCGATCAACGGTACGGTCAGCTTCGAGGGGAACCTTGATACAGACAGCCGGAGGTGATACAGTCACAATTGAATTAGAATTTTGATTGCCATTGACGATGTTTTGCTGACTTACATGATGACCAGTAAAATGCACCACGTGATTCATCGATGCGGAATTTTTGTTGGTACCGGTACGTGGAATAAAAAATGTTTTAGCTGCCCAATTTTGTGTCTATATTGGCGAAAAATATGGAAACTAAACTTCTGATCCGTATCGTAGAAGATGGCAAGTGATAACAATAGGATTGCTCAGCTACCATATCGTCTATTGATAAGCGACATGTGGCTGTCCAGCAATAACGGTTAGCGATCGGGTGCGATATCATGGTGTCTGCATTTAGGCGTTATACGTTGAAGGGACGTATGCATCATAGCTGAAAAGCATCTAAGAGAAAAAAAAATAATAATAACCTCACACCAAATTTATGTTTTTAATATCAGTAAAGCGGATTGCTGGATCATGTTCAGCGATCCAATGCTTTACTGAAAAACAGCAAACGATATTTTTACCGAAAAATTCAGCTAACATAAACTGTCAAACAAAAGAGTTGTCAAACTGTTAGCATCACCGTCGCAAGTATTTTTGAATTCGTACACCACCTTCCACACCGCAAGAGGAAGAAGAGCTTAAAAAACTACAAATAAATAAGATTATGTAGGCAAGTACACTGGCGCGGATACTAGATATAATTATTTAATATATTATACATGAAAAAGATCCTGCCGATTTTGTCTTTATTATTTGTATATTTGTATCAACGATCTCAGAAGCTAAAAGCTCCTAGTGAAAACGAATTCGATTTACCAGCCAAATGTCAGAATCTTTTCCTGAAAAAAACAGTAAAGGGATATTGCTGAAATCATAACTGATTTTCAGTAAAATGTTGTCATTTTGACAGAAGTTAAAATTGCTGGAAAATTTGGCAGTATTATTTTGCTGGAACGTTTGCTGATCTTTCTTCAAGTCTAAAATCAGCAATATTTTGCTGATTTTCAGCGATTGAAATTTGGTGTGATACGGAGATATATCGATTTAAAGTTTTGGTTGGCCCACCAGCCGATAAATAAAAGATTTTGGAATATTTTATACTGGGAAATCCGGATTTTAAAATTTCGAGCATCTGAACACCCCTCTTTTCGCGATTAGAGCCATATTTACGGAGATATATCGATTTAAAGTTTTGGTTGGCCCACCAGCCGATAAATAAAAGATTTTGGAATATTTTATACTGGGAAATCCGGATATAAAAATTTCGAGCATCTGAACACCCCTCTTTTCGCGATTAGAGCCATATTTACGGAGATATATCGATTTAAAGTTTTGGTTGGCCCACCAGCCGATAAATAAAAGATTTTGGAATATTTTATACTGGGAAATCCGGATATAAAAATTTCGAACATCTGAACACCCCTCTTTTCGCGATTAGAGCCATATTTACGGAGATATATCGATTTAAAGTTTTGGTTGGCCCACCAGCCGATAAATAAAAGATTTTGGAATATTTTATACTGGGAAATCTGGATATAAAAATTTCGAGCATCTGAACACCCCTCTTTTCGCGATTAGAGCCATATTTACGGAGATATATCGATTTAAAGTTTTGGTTGGCCCACCAGCCGATAAATAAAAGATTTTGGAATATTTTATACTGGGAAATCCGGATATAAAAATTTCGAGCATCTGAACACCCCTCTTTTCGCGATTAGAGCCATATTTACGGAGATATATCGATTTAAAGTTTTGGTTGGCCCACCAGCCGATAAATAAAAGATTTTGGAATATTTTATACTGGGAAATCCGGATATAAAAATTTCGAGCATCTGAACACCCCTCTTTTCGCGATTAGAGCCATATTTACGGAGATATATCGATTTAAAGTTTTGGTTGGCCCACCAGCCGATAAATAAAAGATTTTGGAATATTTTATACTGGGAAATCCGGATATAAAAATTTCGAGCATCTGAACACCCCTCTTTTCGCGATTAGAGCCATATTTACGGAGATATATCGATTTAAAGTTTTGGTTGGCCCACCACCCGATAAATAAAAGATTTTGGAATATTTCATACTGGGAAATACGGATGTAAAAATTTCGAGCATCTCAACACCCCTCTTTTCACGATTAGAGCCATATTTACGGAGATATATCGATTTAAAGTTTTGGTTGGCCCACCAGCCGATAAATAAAAGATTTTGGAATATTTCATACTGGGAAATCCGGATATAAAAATTTCGAGCATCTGAACACCCCTCTTTTCGCGATTAGAGCCATATTTACGGAGATATATCGATTTAAAGTTTTGGTTGGCCCACCAGCCGATAAATAAAAGATTTTGGAATATTTCATACTGGGAAATCCGGATATAAAAATTTCGAGCATCTGAACACCCCTCTTTTCGCGATTAGAGCCATATTTACGGAGATATATCGATTTAAAGTTTTGGTTGGCCCACCAGCCGATAAATAAAAGATTTTGGAATATTTCATACTGGGAAATCCGGATATAAAAATTTCGAGCATCTGAACACCCCTCTTTTCGCGATTAGAGCCATATTTACGGAGATATATCGATTTAAAGTTTTGGTTGGCCCACCAGCCGATAAATAAAAGATTTTGGAATATTTTATACTGGGAAATCCGGATATAAAAATTTCGAGCATCTGAACACCCCTCTTTTCGCGATTAGAGCCATATTTACGGAGATATATCGATTTAAAGTTTTGGTTGGCCCACCAGCCGATAAATAAAAGATTTTGGAATATTTCATACTGGGAAATACGGATGTAAAAATTTCGAGCATCTCAACACCCCTCTTTTCGCGATTAGAGCCATATTTACGGAGATATATCGATTTAAAGTTTTGGTTGGCCCACCAGCCGATAAATAAAAGATTTTGGAATATTTTATACTGGGAAATCCGGATATAAAAATTTCGAGCATCTGAACACCCCTCTTTTCGCGATTAGAGCCATATTTACGGAGATATATCGATTTAAAGTTTTGATTGGCCCACCAGCCGATAAATAAAAGATTTTGGAATATTTCATACTGGGAAATACGGATGTAAAAATTTCGAGCATCTCAACACCCCTCTTTTCGCGATTAGAGCCATATTTACGGAGATATATCGATTTAAAGTTTTGGTTGGTCCACCAGCCGATAAATAAAAGATTTTGGAATATTTTATACTGGAAAATACGGATATAAAAATTTCGAGCATCTGAACACCCCTCTTTTCGCGATTAGAGCCATATTTACGGAGATATATCGATTTAAAGTTTTGGTTGGCCCACCAGCCGATAAATAAAAGATTTTGGAATATTTCATACTGGGAAATCCGGATATAAAAATTTCGAGCATCTGAACACCCCTCTTTTCGCGATTAGAGCCATATTTACGGAGATATATCGATTTAAAGTTTTGGTTGGCCCACCAGCCGATAAATAAAAGATTTTGGAATATTTTATACTGGGAAATCCGGATATAAAAATTTCGAGCATCTGAACACCCCTCTTTTCGCGATTAGAGCCATATTTACGGAGATATATCGATTTAAAGTTTTGGTTGGCCCACCAGCCGATAAATAAAAGATTTTGGAATATTTTATACTGGGAAATCCGGATATAAAAATTTCGAGCATCTGAACACCCCTCTTTTCGCGATTAGAGCCATATTTACGGAGATATATCGATTTAAAGTTTTGGTTGGCCCACCAGCCGATAAATAAAAGATTTTGGAATATTTTATACTGGGAAATCCGGATATAAAAATTTCGAGCATCTGAACACCCCTCTTTTCGCGATTAGAGCCATATTTACGGAGATATATCGATTTAAAGTTTTGGTTGGCCCACCAGCCGATAAATAAAAGATTTTGGAATATTTCATACTGGGAAATACGGATGTAAAAATTTCGAGCATCTCAACACCCCTCTTTTCGCGATTAGAGCCATATTTACGGAGATATATCGATTTAAAGTTTTGGTTGGCCCACCAGCCGATAAATAAAAGATTTTGGAATATTTCATACTGGGAAATCCGGATATAAAAATTTCGAGCATCTGAACACCCCTCTTTTCGCGATTAGAGCCATATTTACGGAGATATATCGATTTAAAGTTTTGGTTGGCCCACCAGCCGATAAATAAAAGATTTTGGAATATTTCATACTGGGAAATCCGGATATAAAAATTTCGAGCATCTGAACACCCCTCTTTTCGCGATTAGAGCCATATTTACGGAGATATATCGATTTAAAGTTTTGGTTGGCCCACCAGCCGATAAATAAAAGATTTTGGAATATTTCATACTGGGAAATCCGGATATAAAAATTTCGAGCATCTGAACACCCCTCTTTTCGCGATTAGAGCCATATTTACGGAGATATATCGATTTAAAGTTTTGGTTGGCCCACCAGCCGATAAATAAAAGATTTTGGAATATTTTATACTGGGAAATCCGGATATAAAAATTTCGAGCATCTGAACACCCCTCTTTTCGCGATTAGAGCCATATTTACGGAGATATATCGATTTAAAGTTTTGGTTGGCCCACCAGCCGATAAATAAAAGATTTTGGAATATTTCATACTGGGAAATACGGATGTAAAAATTTCGAGCATCTCAACACCCCTCTTTTCGCGATTAGAGCCATATTTATGGAGATAAATCGATTTAAAGTTTTGGTTGGCCCACCAGCCGATAAATAAAAGATTTTGGAATATTTTATACTGGGAAATCCGGATATAAAAATTTCGAGCATCTGAACACCCCTCTTTTCGCGATTAGAGCCATATTTACGGAGATAAATCGATTTAAAGTTTTGGTTGGCCCACCAGCCGATAAATAAAAGATTTTGGAATATTTTATACTGGGAAATCTGGATATAAAAATTTCGATTATCTGAACACCCCTCTTTTCGCGATTAGAGCCATATTTACGGAGATATATCGATTTAAAGTTTTGGATGGCCCACCAGCCGATAAATAAAAGATTTTGAAATATTTTATACTGGAAAATCCGGATATAAAAATTTCGAACATCTGAACACCCCTCTTTTCGCGATTAGAGCCATATTAACGGAGATAAATCGATTTAAAGTTTTGGATGGCCCACCAGCCGATAAATAAAAGATTTTGGAATATTTTATACTGAGAAATCCGGATATAAAAATTTCGAGCATCTGAACACCCCTCTTTTCGCGATTAGAGCCATATTTACGGAGATAAATCGATTTAAAGTTTTGGTTGGCCCACCAGCCGATAAATAAA